AAAAAGTTATCGGGATTACTTTCTTAATTATTTTTTCATTAATTTTGGAGTATCGGATACTTATATTTGAAGTATCGGATACTCTAAGTCATGTTTACTTGTTTATGAAATTAGAATTGTAACATTTCTTATAGATAATATAATATAATATAATTCAAGTATAAATATAAGAATATTTTTTAATATTTTGTTAAGCTCTTCGATAAGAAGAGCATAGTGGAGTTAAATAATAGATTATCAAATTGATGTATCCTAATTATTTTATGCATGTCCCTATATAACTACATAGAAAGTAAGAATTAATAAGAGAATATAACAATGGTAAAATTAAATATCATAAAATAAATAAGCAAGTAAACTTGAATACATATTTTTCACTAGTGTCAAAGGAAAAAGCATAGGGACAGTTGTTGAATTGTTCTATTATTGTAATATAAATATATTAAACTTGATATTGAAATGAAATATTTGCAAGACCTATTAAAAATTTAAAAAGTAAATAAGCTACAAACTTAAATTAATACAAAATTCTTGAATGTTAGTATTTTGCATTATAAAATTACATTGTGGTTTCTCAACGTTCTTTAGCTTATGTGTGACTCACTATTAATAATTTTAAATAATATATTTTTCACAAACGTATCCTAGCCGTACCGGTATCCTATTTTTCTAGGTTTTGTCGTATCGCCGTATCTGTATCGTGTCATATCCGTATCTCGTATCCGTATCTATGCTTCTTAGGGTATACCTGAATTACAGCTATACAGTTGCGACTTCAAGGGGTTCCAAAGGGAAAAATTTACTCGAAGCTTGAAATTAATAATCCTCATATCTTTGGGGCTTCTAGGACTAATTCTAATATGTTTCCTATATCCTTGCTGGTGTAGAAAGACTAAAAAAGTACCTTCTTTCAAATATTTAGAGCTCTCATTTTTTAAATTGTCATACCAAAGTCTACTTAAAGCTACTGATGGGTTTTCTCCACTCAATTTGGTCTGTGTGGATAGTTTTGGTTCTTTGTACAAAGGAGTTCTTTGTGAAGGTTAAAATGTTGTAGCAATGGAAGTACTAAACCTTCAATGCCTTGGAGCTTCCTAGAGTTTCTTCATCGAGTGTGAGACCTTGAGGCACTTAAAACATCAAAATCTTCTCAAGGTTCTCACAGCATGTTCAATTGTTGACTATCATGGTAACAATTTCAAAGCTCGTGTTTATGAGTTTATGGTTACTAGTAGCCTAGAGGATTGGTTACATGCAAATGAGAATGAAGATGAGGTGCATAAATACTCAAGGAATTTAGACCTTGTATAGAGGTTAGATAATGCCATTGATGTTGCTTTTGCGCTTGATTATCTTCACAAACATTGCTCAGAACCAATCGTTCACTGTGATCTCAAGCCAAGCAATGTTCTTCTGGACGATGAAATGACTACTCACGTAGGTGACTTTGGATTAGCAAGATTCCTTCAAGAAGCTACCCATGACCGTTCAGCAAACCAATCAAGTTGTGTTGGCATAAGAGGATCTGTCGGTTATGCTGCTGCTGGTAAATATACCTCTCAGGTTCTTTGTTTTCCTTTGTGCCTTCACTGCACTATAGAATCTAGTTTTGATTCACACAGCCATGAATCTGCTCTTTTAATCAATGAAACAGAGTTGATGATTTTTGGCTTTTGTTCCTCACAATGCACTATAATAAATATTTCACTGATTGTTTTCAGTGTATTTCTCTCACATATAGTACAATGGATGGATGGATGAATGACTTTTAAAACTATAACTTTTTATTTTATTAAATATTTTTTTTACTTTCCTCATGTTAGGGCATGTAGTTTACTTGAATTTGTGATTATTTTGTGCCATCAATGGGTGGATGTACCAATATCAGCAAATCTTAGTCCCTAACATATTAATGCATGAATTGCAGAATATGGCATGAGAAATGAGGTGTCAACATTTGATGATGTATATATTATGGCATCCTTTTATTGGAGATGTTCACGGGGAAGAGACCTACAGATAACATGTTTTATGATAGTTTGGGACTTCATAACTTCTTTAAGATTGCTTTTCCCGAACAAGCAGCAATCATTATTGCCGATCCAAGACTGTTTAAACAAAAAGATCAGAGCTCTGCTAATAGTCACAAAATTCAAGAGTGCTTGATTTCGATTCTTAAAGTTGGAATCACTTGTTCAGAGGAATTACCAAAAGATCGGATGGCGATTAATGATGTTGGTACTCAGTTGCAAGTGATCAGAAACACTCTCGTTGGAATTAGGGGAGTATACATGGAGGTAGAGGAGCTAAAATTGAAATGCAATCATGAGCAGGTATTTTGTTCATAATCATTCACAAATTCTCATTTGTTTTTGTATTTTGTTTTTTTCATCGAACTTGGATTCTTGAGGAAGTAATTGGCAATGTTAAGGATGGAGCAAGAAGCACCAATTCAAATATAGTTGTCTACGTGGTTAGCAACTATCAATAATACTTTAGATAGTTCAACCATTTTCTGTCTCTTTTGCATTTTTAAGGAGTAAAATAATTCAACTAGGTTTTCATTACTAGTGTCATCCAGAAAAATACAGAAGAGGTGATCAATTAAGTTTTAATCAATCTCTGTTGCCAAAATCATATATTCAAGATACCAAAACCTCATCTTTTTGTGACTCCAAAGAGGAAAAGTCCATTTTGTTGTTGGTTTCAAATTCCTTAATGTCGAAGCACATTATTCTCTTTAAACAATTATGCTAGTTAGAGCATTACGGCTATAAACCTTTTTTTATTTTATTTTATGAAAATTGATGGAAATGTAACTTTTGAGTTTTTTAAGTTGTAACCATGGCTGGGGTTGAGAATAAATCAATTGATGGAGTTTTGGGTAGATTAGTATCTCCTGATGGAGTTTTGGGTAGACTAGTATCTCCTGATGGAGTTTTATAAGTACTCTTGATCTGTGCATCTGGTTTACAATATCATTTTTATATTATTCTTCAATATGGAACCAAAAATCTAATTTTCAGGCCAATGCAACTTGTTACATATGTCTTCTTTTCCTTGTGTATTATATCCCATCAAATTGTTTGGAGATTAATTACCGTTCCTCTTCTCTCAGGTGCTTGAGATCTGATTAATCATAGAGGTATTGGATGATTCAACAACTATGCCATGCCACATATTGCTTTGGCTGCCTACAACAATTAATAATATGCTATTTTTCAATTTTTCATTGTGTTTGATCTCTATAGCATTCATCTTTTCTCATTTAAATGTACTTCAAGAAGGCTGCGACATGCAATGCCGACCCTGTCTTATACTCTAAATAGGTTCCACAGTAGATGCTGTTCAATAGATTGAAAAGAAGATAAATCCAAATGCATATATTCATCCTCAAGTATTTTCTTTCATTAGTTTTGCAGAAGACTTCACTTTACAAGCAGAGTCTTTTCATGCAAAGCTAAAACAGATTTTATCAGGCTTGAATTGATTAGTATGATGATATTTGTCATCAGGTAACAACTCTTGTGTGATTAAACCTTGGTTTAAACAAACCTGAACTTTATGTTTCTGCTTGATTCGAACCGGCATACCCAATTGTTTACATCTTAATAAACCATGATTATGAAGTTTTAAATCAATATTTGCCACAATAAGATTTAATCATTGAATATTCACTCTGGATTCATTTTGTGGATTAATAGTCTAACACTCAATCTCAAGTATACTTGATGGCATTCTGCAGATAGATGTGGATGAAAATTTGCCAAGTCTAATTTTGTTTTACATGGAGATCAAGGTGAATTTTTGAAAAACAGAACTCATATGAACAATTGAGGAAAATAATAATCTTTGATTAGTTGAAATTGTTGAGTTTTCACTATCTGATTCTAACAATTAAAATTATGAATAATTAAATTTATATTTTTTGTGTCATTTATTTTTTCATTTTAATAATACAGAACAGAGTTCATCAAGCTAAAATTGACTGATGTCAACTTGTTGTGTTGTATGTGCATAGTGCAGTCACTCTCAGGATCAAGAGATTTCACATCAAATGCAATACAGTTCATTCATATTTGGAATTTTTGCACTAATGTAATCACAATAATGATTTGTGATTGGGAATTTTTGAAAGGCATACAATTATTATAATTACATCGCAAATTTTTTTTAATTAATATTATAAAAATTTATAATTTTTTATTTATTATTTATAAAAAAGAAATGTGCACGTGTTGTAGCATTTTTCAATATGAAGCATATTTTATTGTGAACAAAATTAGATTCGAAATAAAGGCTACGTGATCAGTGTTAAACCTTGCAAAACAACATCCATTGACCCCCACACATCTTTTTATTAGCAATATTATCAATTTAAAAATGTATGTTATAAAAATTTGTATCTTAAAAAAAAAAAAAAAGTTAAACTTGAATGAAAAAAATTACTATTAAAAAAAAAACTAATAACCTAAATATATATATATATATATATAAAATAAAAAATCTCAATATGAGATGTAAAAAATGATTGACTTGACATTGAAGTGCTACTGTACATACCTCCCAAAATACACTTGTGGTATCCATTGGGTTGTTTTTAAAGTAGATTAAAGGCTGATTTTTTTGACTTTTTTAAATTTATTTTGAAAAAATATGTAAAAAAGTAAGAAAATAATGTAAGTCAAAATAAGTTAAAAACAAAAAAATGACTTTTTACTCACTTACCAAAACAAGCCAAAGTTTCATTCAAAATAATGCTTCATAGTAAAATGTTACAATCTCATAATCAAGTCATAATCACATCCAAAAAATAATAATAATAATAAAATCTCAAAATCAAAATTAATTTGGGTCATAAGCAAAAAACACCATAAAAATCTTATAGTCAAGTTTACTATAAATTTAATCACCTCATAATTTTATAATTAAATTTTACATTATAGATAGCTAAGATTATTATTCAGTGTGCTTGATTTCAATTTTCTAAAAATTAAGTTTTTTATTTTTCATATTTTTTTTAGTGAATATTTTTAAAATTTTAAGTAATTTTTTTAAATTTTTTAAATGCACCTAACTTAGATGTATCTAAAAAATAAAATATTTGTAAAAAATATTTTAAAAAATTAATAAATACACAAAAATGCAAAAAATATACTGAATTTTTATTTTTTTGTATTTCGTGAATTTTTTAAAGATTTTTTTCACAAAAATTATACTTTTTAAGTGTATTTATGTTAGGTGTGTCTGAAAATTAAAAAAATGCTTAAAATATTAAAAAAATTCAGTAAAAACAAAAAAATATGGAATACAAAAAAGTAAATTTTTTTAAAAAGTGAATTCTGAAAATCAAAACTAAACAGATTAATTATTATTTTTTTAAAAATTTTATAATTAGAATGTACTAACCACATCATCAAATTTTCAAACTTAAACTAATCTATATGAGGCTGACATGACGAGGATCCCTTACTTTCGAGTTTAGATTTACCAAAGTTGAAAATTTTAATTTCGTAGTTAAATTTTAATGGATTAATTACTTAAAAGTCCTAATGACAGTAGGTGTGGTAGCTCAAGTCCTGTGCAATAGTTTTGGGACGCACAAGTCCCATTTTGGAATGCAATTGACGTTAATGCGCTTTTGAATCTAATGTATTAGAGATGCAATTTCAGAGAGAGAAGAGGACTTGGAACGTCCTTGTAGACACCCCATTTTTGACCGACCTTAAGACTCAGACGTCACCGATTGAGCGCTCGGTGATATTGCATATTGTGCTCGTTCTGAGGTTTCAGAGTCTCGGCTGTGAGCCTTGCCTCCAGATTTCTGGACTCTTTTGTACTTTGCCTCGGTTTGCGAACCAGGTCCCATTTCTTCCGTTTTCTCTTCCCGAAAGGAGGGAGAGGTCTCGTAGACCATCTCTCAGTGGCCGTAGGCTACGCTTCGTGGTCATAGGCCATTTTTCCCATTTGGAGCCAAGTTTCTGGTTTTCAGAGTCGTCGGTCGTGTGCCTCGGTTCGGGACCGCTTAACTACCTCCGTTTGCTCCGATTTTTGGCACACACTTTGTTTCCTCCCTTTAGAGGGACACTGTGGCCCGGGAGACCACCTCTGTGGTCATACGCCACTTCCGGTGCCTAACAGCCTGTTTTCGGGACCTCAGACTGCATGTTTTGGCCCCCGAACCCTCGTTTTGCATCCGTCTTGGTCCATTTTTGGTGGGGACCCTATTTTTATTGTTAGGGAGGTGGTAGTATGGTGGGAGGCCATATTTTCCCCTGAAAAACTAGTTTTCTCTTTTTCTCTTTCCAAAAGCCGGTTTTTCTGACAGAAAGCTAGTTTTTCTCACTTTTGAGCCACAATTTCTGGCTTTTCATACCACCATTGTGTTGTGCTCATCTGGGAGGCCACCAATATGGGTAGGTCAACTAGTAATTCTTCTTGACCCTTTTGAATCTTGCTAAAAAGCTGGTTTTTCTCTCTCCTAGGTCACATTTTCTGGTTTTTCACTATACAGCTGTGTTGCACTCATTTGAGAGGCCACCTTTTTGGGGTGGCCGACCAGAAATTTTGCTTGAACCTTTTGACCCCTGGTCAGCCGACCAGGGGAGGTGGTCGGCCGACCACCCTGACCCTTTTGAACTGGTCGGCCAGTTTTGTCTCTCTGAGTGTGTTCCAACTGTGCCAGTTGTTTTACACTTGACCCACTGTCCGAGGGTTTTGTCCTTGTTTTGGCCCCTTTTAAGTTGGTTTTCACCCCTTTGCTTGGCTTCAAAGAGGAATTGGCCCCTTTGGTCAAGCTTCCTTTAGAAGCTTTGAGCCTCTCTCTTGGCTTCTCCAAGAAGCCATGGCCTCCTCCCTCTATATAATCAACCCTTCACCTCTATTTTCAAGGGTTAGAAGCTTTTGGCTGGAAATATACATACAACCCTCTATCTCTATACTTCAAGCCTCAAAACACTCATATTCTTGGCCATTTTACCCTACACCTCTTAGCCTACCACCTCCCTCATTCATTCCAGCACCTTAGAGATCATTTACAGAGGTTGAAAGCTCACCAACTTGGTCCAAAAGCTGCTGGAGGTCAGCTCTACAAGGGTAAGTCTTCATTTCTCATTTTCTAGCCTTATTTTGCTTCATTACTTAGCTCCATTTGCAAGCATTTCTGGGTCTCAACCTAAACTGTAAAGTGTCTTATTTTGAGCTCCTATTCAACTTTGTTTAAGGGCACTTTGCTGTTTGAGGTCATCTACTTCCCCTTACCCTCTATCTCCCTTTTAGGGCGTTTTTTGCATCATAGTTTAGCCTTACTTGTGAACATTTTCGAGATTTTTCATAAACTGAAAAAGATCTTGTTTTAATCTCCTCTTCAAGTTTGGTTAAGGTCTCTTTTCTGTTTGGGGTCATCTTCCCCCTATGCATGCTTCATCTCTTCATGATTAGGGCTATGCATTAGAGCACTTGCATTGGCCATGGTTTGGCCTCTTAGACACTGAATGCATTTTTGAGAGCCAAAATCAGAGGGGAGTGACCCCCTCTCTCTTTGTCTTGATTGGTGGTCTTGTTGGCCTTCCAAAAGGACCCCTTTTTGCATGCTTTGAAGTCATGTTCCAAGCCTCATTCTGAGGGTTTTGAGGTTTTCCTTAGCTCTGTCCAAGGCCCTTTTGGCCATATTTTATGTTCCTCATGCATGTGTGGAACAACCCTCCTTAAGGCCTTTCAAGAGGACCTTTCATTGTATGCTTTATTGATCAATTTCAGGCCCTTTTTGGTGAGTTTTAGGGCTGTCATATTTGATTTCCAGAGTTAGTTTTGCTATGCTAAGTGTCCATCATATATGTGTTGAGTAACCCCTTGCATGCCCTTTCAAAGAAGCTCATCATTTTCGCACATGTTGGCTGCATTTCAGTGGATATTTGGGCATATTTTGTCATGTTTTATTCACTGTTTTTGGCTGGTTTGATGAGTTCTCATACGCTTCACATACATGCATGTAAACCATGCTTGCTAGCCAGATTTGCATGCTATTTTAGTCCATCATGTTAGCACTTTTTTGGCCATGCTTTAAACTAGAAATATGCATGTTTTGGGACTGCCTTGGCTCTATCTTTGTACTTCATGGCCAAATAATGCTTGCTTTGCATAGTTTATAATTCAATACATGTGCCTAGCTTTGAGTTTCGGGGGTTATTTCATGCATCGGGTGCCATATTTCCATGTTTCGGGACCATTTAGCATCATGTTTCAGTGCTGGAAATTACATGTTTGTATGCCATCTTTCATCCCTTGCCATGCTTTGGTAGAGTGGCATTTTATGCCTTAGGTTCGGTCCTCAGTGCACGCATTTCGGTTGTCTCTTTTCTATCTCATGGCCACTGATGTGAGTGTGGCTGAGGTCCATTCATGTTGGTGTAAGTCCCATCGTGCATTGTGTATGGCATTTCGGTCCATAGCATTGCGTATGCTAGATTGCATGTTAGAGCATCGTGTATGCCACGTCACATCGAGCATTGTGTATGCCATTTCATAGCATTGCGTATGCTAGGTTGTATGTTTATGCATTGTGTATGCCATCTCATTTGTATCGTGTTTGGGATAGGAGTTAGCCCAAGCACGGGAAACGAGGTACGTTTCGTACTCCGAGTGACGGAACGTGTCTCGATTCCCTGTCGCTGACACTCCGGATTACCCATGATGGAGTTTAGGTCTTGTTGTGTTTTCATGTGCATTCATTTCATATTGAGTCGTGCAATTCGACTTCTCGGCCATCATTGCATCGTATGCGTGATTAGTGGCACGAGGATCGAGGACTACACTCCCTGAAGAGTAGTCATGTATACATATGTGAAAATACTTTGCCATGCCCCTTTGTTGCTCTCTGTTGCAGTAATCAAAATCAGCGGCCTT